TGAAGGGACTGACGATTTGCTTTCCAACATGGTCGAGCCCACTAGAGAGGCCAGAGAGCTCGTGCTGTTCTGCGCCCTTCCCAGCACTTGGTATTGCCAGTTTACAGTTTTTATTCACGCTAATAAATGTGCAGTGATTTGTTACTGTGGTTTCAATTTGCACTCCTCTAATGGCTAATGATACCATCTTTTTATGTGCCTGAGTGCCATTCATATTTCTCCTCAGGTGAAGCGTCTGTTCTCCTGTTTGCTTTTTGTTATTGAGTTGTGAGAGTTCTTTATATCTTTAGATAAAAATCCTTTATGAGAAATGTGCATAACGAATATTTTCTCCTTGCCTTTGGCTTGTGTTTACATTCTCCGCACAGCCTCTGTAGAAGTGCAGATGTTTTAAGTGTTGGTAGTCCAATTAATTATTTGTCTTTTATGATGTATGCTTTTGGATCATATTTTAAAAATCTTTGCTTCACCCAAATCACATGTTTTCTCCTATGTTTTCATCTAGAAGTTTTAGGATTTACGGTTTTCCATTTAGATCCATGATCCACCATGAGTTGATTCTCTCTATGGCAACAGGTACGTGTGAAAGTTCTTTTTAAAAAAGAAAAACATAGGTATGTTGAAAAGTTCCAGCACCGTTTATTGAAAATAATATTTCTTCTCCTTTGAATTACCTTGGCATATTTGTTAAAAACCCATTGACCACATATTTCTAAACTTTATTTGGTTCCATTGATATGCATATTTATTCTTTCACCAATCTTATACCCTTTTTATTCCTGTAGCTTATGTTAAGTCTTAAAATCAGATGCCACGAGTCCTCCAGCTTTGCTCTCTTTTTGAACAGTGTTTTGACTAGCCTACGTCCTTTGCTTTTCCACATGAATTTTAGACTCAGCTTGCCAATTTGTATGAAAAACCTCACCAGGGTTTTATTGAAATTGTATTCAATGTATAGTTCAATTTGGGGAGAAGTGACATCTTAACAATTTTAAGTCTTTGGTCTATGAATGTCACCTCTCTGTCCATTTATTTAGGTCTTTGTCTCATCAACATTTCGTAGTTTTTAAGTCTACAAACCTTGCATATATTTTGTTAAGTTCATCCCTAATTTTTTCAGGTTGTCTGTTGCTATTGTAATGGCACTTGAAAACTTAATATCCATTTGTTTTTTCTGCATATAGAACACAATTGACTTTTGTATATTGATCTTATATTCCACAACCTTGCTTAACTCACTTATAAGCTCTAATAGCTATTTAAGACAGCTTTATCAAGATATACATTACCCACTTAAAGTATACATTAACCCACTTAAGTGTACAATTCAGTGGCTTTTAATATTCACAGAGTTGTGCAACCATCACCACAATCACTTTAGAACATTTTCTTTCTTTTTTAAAGTATATTTTATTGATTATGCTATTACAGTTGTTTCCTTTTTTCCTTCCCTTTAGCCCCCCATACCCCAACTCCTTCCAGCATCTCTCTCCCTTAGTCCATGTCCATAGGCTGTACATATAAGTTATTTGGCTTCTCCATTTTCTATCCTGTTCTTAACACTCCCCCCCCCCGCCCCGGTCTATTTTGTACCTACCATTTCTGTTGCTTATTCTCTTTACCTTTTGCCCTACTCTCCCCCTTTCCCCTCCCCCACTGATAACCCCCCATGTGATCTCTAGTTCTGTGATTCTGTTCCTGTTTTGGCGGTTTGCTTATTTGTTTTTGTTTTTGTTTTAGGTGTGGTTGTTAATAATTGTGAGTTCGCTGTCATTTTACTATATATGTTTTTTTTCTTTTCTTTTTCCTAGATAAGTCCCTTTAACATTTCATAAAATAAGGGCTTGGTGATGATGAACTGCTTTAACTTGACATTATCTGAAAAGCACTTTATCTGCCCTTCCATTCTAAATGAAAGCTTTGCTGGATAGAGCAATCTTGGATGTAGGCCTTTGGATTTCATGAGTTGGAATACCTCTTTCCAGCCCCGTCTTGCCTGCAAGATTTCTTTTGAAAAATCATCTGAGTGTCTTATGGGATCTCCTTTGTAGATAACTCTTCTTTTCTCTTGTAGCTTTTAAATTTCTCTCTTTATCTTTAATCTTGGATAATGTAATTATGATATGTCTTGGTGTGTGCTTCCTTGGATCCAATTCTTTGGGACTCTCTGAGCTTCTTAGACTTCCTAGAAGTTTATTTCTTTTGCCAGATTGGAGAAGTTCTCCCTCATTATGTTTTCAAATATGTTTTAAATTTCTTGCTCTTCCTCTTCTCCTTTGGCACCCCTATGATCTGGATGTTGGAACATTTAAAGTTGTCCCAGAGGTTCCCAAGCCTCTCCTTTTGAATTCTTGTTTCTTCATTCTGTTCTGGTTGAATGTTTATTTCTTCATTCTGTTCCAAATTGTTGATTTGAGTCCTGGTTTTCTTCCCTTCACTGTTGGTCCCCTGTATATATTTTTTTATTTCACTTTGCATAGCCTTTGCTTTTTCCTCTGCTTTGTGACCATACTCAACCATTTCTGTGAGCATCCTGATTACCAGTGTTTTGAACTGTGCATCTGATAGGTTGGCTGTCTCTTCATTTCTTAGTTCTATTTTTGGAGCTTTGATCTGTTCTTTCGTTTGGGCCATATATATTTTTTTGTCTAGGCGCACCTGTTATGCAGTAAGGGGTGAATCCTTGGGTATTCTACAGGTCAGGGCAACCCACGTAGATGTTTTGTGGTGCCGTGTGTGGGGGAGGAGTCCGAGATGGAACAATGCTGCTTGCTTGGCTCTCACCTCACTTTTTGTCACTTCCCCAGCCATCCACAAGCAAATTGGGTCCTTCTGGTGCTGATTCCTGGGTGGGTGGGTTTGTATACACGCTAAGACCCTGTGGGTCTTTCCAATAAACTCTCCTGTGAGGCTGGGAGTTCCTCCCACCAACGCAACACCACAGGGTTTTAACTGCCAGAGTTAAATCCTCAGGGCAGGATCTCCAATTAATCCAAAGCCATGTGGCACCTCCTCATGGCCTACTGGCAAGAGTTCTTTCACCCTTCTTCCAGGCAAAGTCTCTCCTGCTTCCCAAGCCACACAGCTAAAGGAAGCACCCCAAAGCTGCGGGGTCCTCTTCTATCACAGCTGCAGGGGTCTGCACTCTGGCCAAAACCACATGGTTCTCTCCTTCACATGGCTGCAGGGGTCCCCACTATGCCAGAAGTGCTTGGCTTTCTCTCTGCACTGCCACAGCTGAGTGGTTTCCTCCCCTTCACATGGCTGCAGGGGTCCCTACTCTGGCAAAGCTGTGTGGTAGTGCTCCAATGGCTGCCATGTCTGTGTTTTAAATCCCTGCGCCAGTTCTCCTTTGCAGCCCCATTTCCGACTCCTCCTACAATCAACTACACTTCCAGGATTTCAGTATTATTCTAAGTTTCCTGGGCTGCCATTGTGAGTCTGGGCAGGTGTGGCCCCATGTCATGGAGCCAATCATCTCTAAGCTCTCATGCAGGTGCTGTAACTCAGGAGACCTGCCCCCAGTTACATCTTGGGTGGAAGTCACTTCCATCCCCCTGGCTCAGAGCAGGGCCACAGCTATTTAACATATTTATGTAGCCAGTTAAAGGTTATAGATATGTTAAATGACCATGCCAGAGGTTAGCTACAAAGCCTTTGCTGTACAAAACAGCTCTCAATGGTCCTGCTCCATTTATCCCTTCCTCAGCTCACACCTGTGGGAGGGAAGGGGTGAGGACATCTAATATTTCCTAGACACCTTGAGTTCTGGACCCCATTACAAATCCCTTTTTGGGGCCCCCTCTTGGCTGCACCCTGTTACGTTATTGTAGAATTGATGTTGAGAAGAAAGCCGATTATTGGATAAAAAACAATTTGGTTGAACAATGAGATACAACTTCTTACCTCCTAGGATTAAAAAAAAAAAAGTAAAAAGCTGACACTATAAAATATTTTCCAGAATGGGGAGCAACTGGAATTCTTGTACGCTGCTGGGGGAAAGTAAAATGTTGGAGTCACTTTGGAAACTTGTGTGCCGATTTCAAATACAGTTAAACATACATTTCCCACATGACCTCCCAATCTCATTGTTAGGTGTTCACCCAAGAGAAATGCAAAATGATATTAAAACTAAGACTCAGGCCAAACTAAGACTCATAGGAAGCTATTCATAGTAGTGAAAACGGGAGGCAATCCACGTGCCCATCAAGAGAAGAGTGAGCCAGCAGGCGTGGCGTGTTCGTGCAGGGGGCACGCCCGCAAAGTGAAAGGACTGCTTTGTCCGCATCACAAAGTAGACGCCTTCCAAAAATATCCTAACGAGTGAAAGAAGGCAGGTGCAAAAGAGGACGTGCTGCACGGCTCCACGGGTATGAAATTCTGGAACCGATTCTGATCAGAGAGGGCAGGTCATGGGTCGGGGTGGGCGGGTTGATTACAAAGAGGAACAAAGAAACTTCTGGGGTGATGGAAATGTTCGGTCTCTTACTGATGTCAAGATCAATCAATATTTTGATTGTATAGTTGTTATATGGGTATATATTTGTCAGAACTTGAACTCTGCTAAAAAAAATCTGGACATTTTATTGTATTCAATTGTATGTCAGTAAGACCGACACCAGTAAAAGTTAGTTAAAACAGTAATTCTGGCCCCTGTTTACTCAAATATTAGTTTTATGTACCGCAGGGTGGCTCTGCAACTTCTAAAATTTTAGCTTTTATTGGCACGTCTTTATGCTTCATGTTCACCTCCAGGTTTCTGGGCTTTTAATTCCTTTTTTTAAATAGGTAGGATTGTTAGATTTGGAGAAAGAATGAGTTGGAAGAAATGGGTGGATGGTGTTTCAGGCACGACTGCATGTTCTCAGGTAGAAACTCCGGGGCTGCCCCCCAAAGCCGAAAGGAAAAGACACTACACAGAAGAATCATCTGGTGGGAAGGTTAGCGCTTGAACGCAGCACAAAAGAGAACCTCACGGCCTAATGTCTAAAACCCAAAGTCAGGGGACGGCGCAAATGCAGCCCCCCACCAGCACTAGTTATGCGGTCGAGCCTCCCACATTTGGGGAAATTGCAGGGGTCAGCACACCTGAGTGCAACGCACCAGCCTCGCCCAGAGGAAACCACCTTCTGGATCATGGTATCGTCCCTGCCCGGTTAGTGTGGGCTTTTAATTTCTAAACATTTTCCAGCAACTGTGTGCTTGTCTGACAAAGTTGTAACACATTTTAAAGCTTTTTTTCCCCCTCTAGGTTTCAAGTGGATCAGCTGAAAGGAATTTGGTCGGAAGTGAACGCTCACAGCCACCAGCTCACATCTTGAGAAGATTCTTGCACCCTGGGGAGATCTTGCAGTTTCCATATGCGTTTTGAAAGCAATTTTTTCCTGCTTCCTAGGTTATTTCATTTAAAAAATTCATTCTCAGTCATCCATGTCCACTTTACCTATTTAGCTATGTTTTCATAAGTTTTCCAGAATATTTCTACTGTCTTTCTTAGAGAGGAAGACAAGAAATAGTGCCAAACAAACTGAGCATCACAGACTGAAAATAGATTAGGACATGAAATTAAAAAACAAAAATGCAAAGCCTGAGAGAGGACTAAAAGAATGCAAAAATATTGCAATACAAATGCACAAAAAATGATTTCATAAGGTTCCAAAATTCCATCACTAGCTTGCTATATGACCTTGGGCAAATTTAACCTCTTTCGGCCTCATTTCCTGGCCTGAGAAGTGGGAGCTAATCATGGACCTACCTCATGGATTGGCACCAGGATTAAATGAGATGATTCACGTGGAAACCCAGAGCCCCGTGCCTGGCCTGCAGTAGACATTGAATAAGTATTTGAAATCACTGTGTTTGCCCCCATGGTTCGTTATTACATTGGGAAAAAAGGACAGAGAGTGGACAGACCGTCAGCGTTTGGCCGTCTCACCCGGGGCCGTGCTGGGGGTGGGGCTGGCTGGCGGCTGACGGCTTGTTCCTGGGCCAGGAGCAGGAAGGGCAGTTGCAGGGCCGAGGACGCTCAGAGGTTTAATTCTGAAAGAGCTTTGGGTCTGAGTGTCTCCAGCTCTGAATTCATTCACTGATGTCCTCAACAAACATGCTGACCCCTCAGTGTCCCATGAGCTCACTGGCTAGTGGGGGGATGACCCCCAGGGCGGGTGAGCCTAAATGGCCCCTATGCTCACGTCCATCCCTCAGGTGGAAGAGAAGCCCCAGGGGCTGACGGTGACTTGCAAGACAGTAGGCAAAGCCAGGCCAAGACCTGCCATGGGCCCTTCACTGAGCGGTTCCTCCTGCCACCTGTGATCACAGCAACCCAGGGGAGAAAGTCCTAACGGGCCAACAGTCACTTTCCTGGGGAAGTGGTGACCCTTGAACCCAGTGTGACAGGTGGAGACTATTCGGACACGTGTGGAGGGAGGTTCTCCAGGCTTCAAGGTGCACAGGCGGGAGAACCAGAGATGGATGTGGCAGACTTTTTTTAAATCCCCACCTGAGGATATGTCTATTGATTTTAGAGAGAGAGAGAGACAAGGGGGAGAGAGAGAGAGACACAGAGAGAGAGATGTGGATGTGAGAGGGAAACATCAGTTTTTGCCTCCCCGTGTGTGGCCTGACTGGGGATCGAACCCACAGCCTAGGTATGTGCCCTGCCCGGGAACTGAACCTACAGCATTCTGGCGATGGGATGATGCCCCAACCCACTGACCCCCTGGCCAGGGCTGCGGCAAACATTTAATGCTGTTTCTTTGTGTCGCGGACTTTCCCTCACAGCGTTCCCAGCTTTCCCGAAGGAGGAGAAATTTCAGGGCTGACACGGGGACCTGGGTTCGGAGAAACCACACCGGGGACCCTTCTCTGTCACTGGGGCAGCCCGCGTCTCTCCGGCCAGTCCAAAGTGAGTCAGAGAGCCCGAAGTGACAGGCTTTCCAGGAGAGGGGACAGGCAGTGGGGACGGGGAGGGGGTGGAAGGAGGGGGCTGTGGGCCCCGAGAAGGGAGGGAAGAGGGGGCCGAGGGTGAGTCTGGGGCTGCTCCTTTGGGGCTGCACGGTTCGGTCCTGTGTGGTCACTCGGACCACGCTGAACAGGCCACAGGCCGGGAACAGGTTACCTTCCTGGCTCCTGCCCGGGGGGGGGGAAACCCGCCCTTTCTCTGTCCGGTCAGGAAATGGCCCCAGCGCCCAGGTGCTGGGGATTCAGCGAGGAAAGTCTGGGTCTCTGCTGGCCCTCAGGAGCCTCCTTGTCTGCTGGGAGACGAGGATGTGAAGGAAGGGTGACCCCAACAGCAGGAGACCGGCGACAAGGGCCGAGCCCCGCCTCCGAGTTTTTAACCTAGGGTTACACACCCCACCCTCTCCTTCGGAAGGCCTCCCCCGCACTGTTCCGCGGGGCTCCCCCTTCTGGTACTTGGGAGCCCAGCAAACAGTAGGAAATCAGTGTACCTCACCCCCCGGCACCCACGCTGGGGTAGGAAGTGAAAGGTGGAGAACGAATCCCCACGTTCTGTGAATGCTTAACTGAAGCAGCTGGGGCAGCCCAGGCTGCCCATTTTTCGGCGGGGAAAGTTGAGGCCCAGAGGGAGCAAGGAGTGTAAAATGGTGCCGCGGGGGTAAACAATGCTTGGTGGGGATGGGCAGGGTACAGGGGTGTCCAGCCTTTTGGCGTCTCTGGGTCACACTGGAAGAAGGGGTGTCTTGGGCCACACGCGGAATAAACACAAACACTAATGAAAACAAAAAGTCTCATAATGTTTTAAGTAAATTTCTGATTTTGTGTTGGGTCGCATTCATAGCTGTCCTGGGCTGCACGCATCTGCAGGCTGCGGGTTGGACGCCCCTGGGTCCAGTCCAGGCCGTGGCCATGGCCTTGGGGGCAATGCCGCCGTCTCCTGACAGGTAGGAGGAATGTGTCTCTGGGTCCGCCCAACCTGCTCCCCAGGCAACTTTGCAGATTCTCTGGCTGTGCCGGCCGGGCAGGCCCGGTGGATGGGGCTGGCCTGAATCCAGGATCACCCGGGTGGCAAAGAGGCCGTCTGGCTCCTGTCCAAGCCGCCGAACTCTTAAATCAGAAGGTGACTTGACAGACACTTGGGCAAAAGCAGAGTAAGCCCCCCACCCCCGCCCTCCTCAGCTAGCGATTCCCCATGCTTCTCCCCTGTGAAGTGTTCATCTGCGGGTGGAGTCCTCCCAGCCGGGTCGCCGTCTAACATTGCACCACACCCGCTCTGAGAGGTGGAACCCGGATTCTGACGCTGGCCCTCACACACCCCAGTAAATGGGCACCCTGTCCCGTATTTGGTGCCACAGTTTGACCCGGGGGACTGCATTCTAACACGCGGAAGCTTCATTTCTCTGTGACTCATTCTCCTTTCTTTCCTTTTGATTCACGCTGGCCTCCTCCCGCACCCCACCCCGACCCACCCACTGCCTTCTGCCTGGTCCGCCCACTCCCCTGGTCAGGAAGCCCTTAGGGGAAGGACGTTCTGGTCAGCAGCAGATAATCTCAGGAGCAAAGCCTCGGGTCTGTTGACCAGAGAAACAGTTTCGGTCAGGTTGGAGATAGCATCGAGGTCAGTGGTGTTTCAAGTCTGACACAACTCCACTGAGCACATTTTTGCAAAACCAGACAACAGAATGCCAGGGCTGATGCCAGGACCAGAAACAACGATCAACCGTCCCCACCCAGGCTCCAGACGGCCAGTAGAGACCATGACCCGAACCATGTCCCCAACTTGCTTAGTGCGCTGGGGGACTCAGCCCCTTGGAAGCCCTGCAGGACCAGATCTTTGAGCGCAAGCTCACCTGTGACTCCCAGAATGACACCGTTTCCTTAAAAGGAAACCTTCACTTTCTGGGCTGCAAATTCCTCTTTGCATTTTATTGGGCTTAAACGTGTGCAGGCAAACAAGCCCTTTTCGTTGGTAACACGAGGTAGGTGGTGTTTTTACCCCCTAGATTCTACACCGGTGGCAGAGAGGGGCTGCGTCCCGGATGAGAATTTGCTTAATTAAGGTCGGGTGGGAGTGGAAGCAGGACAGGGCCCAGCGGGTGGGTTCAGAGCCAGCCCCTCCTCCCGCTCCCGGGATCTGGCCCTTCCTCTTCTGGGGCCTTCTTCTGGCCACACAGAGGGACCTTTCAGAAAGCAATTATGGGCCCCGGGCAGGCCACCCAGTCCGTCAGAATGAAGTCCGGACACGCCAGGGTTGTGGGTTTGATCCTGGGTCAGGGCACGTACGTGAGTCAGCCAATGACTGCACGAATGAGTGGAACAACAAATCCATGTTTCTCTTTCTCTTTTCTCCTCTTTAAAAGTCAATAAAAATTAAAAAGAAGGAAAGCAAACAATCCCAGGCAGCGGAAGGCCAAACAGACAATTCACAGGCCTCGTGTGCCAAGCGGCTGCTCTTGGCCCCGTGGAAAGTCTGGTGTCTTGTAGGTGCTGGGTACTCAGTCCTCGTTCCCTTCATCTCCCCTCGCCCCCATCACTGGTCTAAATCCCCTTCAGGCTCTGTGTTGAGGAGGGGGCAGCGGGAACAGCATGGGACAACTTGAACCAAATGCTGATGTGACGAGGGGGCAGGAAGGGACAGAAGGACCCCTGGGAGTGGACTTGGAGGGGGGGTGGGGGGCTCTGTGGATGCTGCCTCCAAAAGGGCCCCCTTGGGGCTACGGGGCAGGTGGCTGGAACTGCTGACGTCCAATCCGGATCCGCAGTTATTGGGTGTGGTCGTGCTCTGCGCCCCTCAGCAAGATCATCAGGGGCGAGGTCCTGGTTCATGAGAACGTCAACTATGTGGCTTCGGGAAGATGCAACCTACACGTGCTAATAAACGTTTATGCACTAAGTTGGGAATAATGCAAAACTCCCCAGTTAAAAAAGTGGTCAGAATTGCACAACTTCCAAGAGTTGGAGGAGCTAAGTGAGCTGTTAACTGGGAATTGTAAACCCGCCATGGGGTGATGTCGCTCTGGTTATTAAATAGAAATACCTGCCCTCTATGTGCATGCACTGTGGTTTGCATGCATCCAAATTTCTAATTACGGTGGGGAATTCTGGAGACGATCATGCCGCTTCCTCAGCATCCGCACTCGTGATAACTTTAAATCTCTTATCTGCATCCCGTCCCAATGTCATCCGAGTGTTCTTTAAGTGGAGGC